TCCTTGTTTCAGCTCCAATTGATGAAACTCTTGATGTTATTGCTCCAAATTCGTGTTGCAAATGGAGAGCCACTGCCCCTAAGTCAAACAGAGGTTCCATTCTCAAGTGAAAGTTGTAGAGGGCAGTATGGAGAGGTCGGTGGTGGTAGTATCCGGTGGACGTGGTGGCAAGGGTGAGTTTTGGGAAGAATGTGAAATTTGGTGGGTTATTTGCACTTTTTAAAAAGTTTGAGCTATAGTTACAATTCATTCTTTATTTTTCTTTTCATTTGTGTTTGTTTTATTTTAATAGAAGGGTAAAATGGTCAAAAAAAGATGAAAATGACGTTTTGCACCAAAAATGTGAAAGGAAGGGACGTTCTGCGCCAAAAAATGAAAGATAGGAATGTTTTGTTCCAATTACCCTAAATATCTCTATTTACATGACACTGCAATTGGAAAAAAGTTATGACTTTAAATTGACGAGGCTTGTCGCGACAAGAAATGTTTCAATATGGATTCCAATCTATTAAAAAATATAGACATATATTATAAAATATTTAAATTTGCCAAATGCTTTTAACAATTTTCTTGGCAATGATTATAACTAGTTGTAAACGCATTATGTGGAAGTTGCAATAATTAAATCGGTGACAACACTTGATATAATATTGTAAATTCTTATAAAACAATTATTTGATCTTAGTTTATAGTTTAAACTTAAAATATAATGCTTAGTGCATATAAAACAACATTTGTAGCCTAATCTCGATACCCCTTATTCTCTTAGTTTAAAGTTTGATCTTAGTTTATACAAAACAATTATTTGATCTTTAGCTAATAGTCTTTTGATGCGTTGGAGTTTGGTATAGTATATATGTATAGAATAATGTTATTCATCCCCACTGGGGTTGAGCCCTAATTTATGTAGCAATTACATGACATTAAACGATAGACTCAATTAAATGAGTCATGTGACTTTGTATTTAAATGAATCTATCATTTAATACTATGTAATTGCCACATAGACTGGAGCTCAACTCCAGTGAGGATGAATAGCATTACTCTAATAAATAAGTACGGTCTAAAGAATTCTACCTGATGATTGAATTTTAAATAAAAACGTTGTGACTCCTCCAATATTTCCTAGGAACTTGACGGGGTGTGTACTATTCATATACACATTCACATTTCAAGTATGATGTTTTTCGTGGAGAAATGTGATGGGAAAATTACTTTTGGCACGTGGCAAGTGCAGGTCAAGGTTTTATTGATTCAATTTGAGCTACACGAAACTTTTAAAGAAGATCAACATTTTTTGACAGATCTATTGAAAAATTCATTAACACTAACAACATCGATAAATCGCCAGTGATTTTGGTAAATCCAGTATGAACAATGAAGACGAGAAAGATTTGAAATTGATCTCTCTGGCCAACAATATCTTTTATGGAATATCTACACAAATGACTTTTGGGAAAAGCTTGAACTATATCAAACACATAGCCTTTTGTTTTATGCGACTAGATGCAGGTATGAAAATCATAGTAGTTAGACTATCTTTGTATTGTCAATAGGAATATTTCTCTAGTAGAGGATATTGGAGTTAATTGATGACTAAGGTAAAAGTGCTAAAGGAAAACTTCGTGCTTGTGATTGGTACCCAAAAGAAGAAGAATGATGAAAACAAAGGAGATTGTCGTTAACCGTGCATTCTCTTTTCATAAGAGAGGAGGTATATTCTCGTGGCATGTCACAACTGTCATTGCATTGAGATTATTTCCTTATGCCAAATCTCACTTATAAAAAGGAATTTGATTGTGAGATGGGAGGAAAAAATAGAGCCTTTAGGGAGTGTCTCTAAGGTTATTGGAAAAAAAAAAAAAGTGCACTAAACAATTGAGAAACTTCAAGCATATGGGAGAAAGATTGAGAATTCTTGGACTAATTATTGTTTTGTAACGTTTAGGTGTGAGAATTCTTGGACTAAAAAAAAAGATTGAGATTTTGTAACGTTTATTGAGAAAGATTTTTATTCGATTTTAAGTCTTATATATAAATATTGTGTTCTTGTTTACTTTTTTACTTTATTTTTGATATTTTTTAGTGTTCTAAAAATCGATGTCTAGATAAGAAGCGAAGTGAAAACGCTCCACCTCGAGTTTTTTTTTTTTTCATTTTTTTTGTTTTCCCCTAGGTGCAATTTTTTACATTTTTTTTCTTTAATTATTAAATAATTTTTAGATTGATTTTAAAATAAAAATATTTTTTTACGCTTGAGCCTCGTCTAAGTCGAAGTTTGGCATCCATGTTTCATCAGGTTTTACGCTTTTTAGAACACTGATATTTTTACAAAGTATGATCCTTGCAAGAGTGAATCAGGAAATTGGTCAAAATTCTCAACATAAATTCCAATACATGACTTCAAATTAATTTTTAAGTTTTTCACCAAAAAAAA